CCTGCGGCCAGGGGGTGATTTGTTGTTGTTTTACTCTCGAGGAAGTCCGGGACAGCCATTGGCAAGGTTGAACAGCACCTTGATGAGGCGGGGAAACGCGGGAAAGGAAGGGCGCATTTTATTACGTCTAAGGGTTCGAGTGTTCACCTCATGAAATCGGGAGAAGGGCAGATTCTTCCGTTATGTGTGTTCAGCGTCGTATTTGGCTGAGATTTCAGACCAAGAATAGTAGCAAAAAAAAGAAAAAAAATCCTGGCAGTGTCTTGTTTATGAATGGTTCAATTTCGAAGCTTCTTTGGGAAAGTAGAAATTCAAAGGCGGTAATAACTTGGTGTAGGGTTTGCCGTGATGATTTACAAACATTGTTGGGTAGCAGTTCCTGTGAAATCTCTCCGATACGCGGTTGTCAGGGCTTTTTTATCCTACCACTCATTCGATCCTCTTATCCCTGTGAGTGAGGGTAGACGGGATAACCCCAGGTTCACGGGTGAGGCTTCTTGAGTCTTATCCAGGGTCTCTTGTCAATATGATCTTTTGCTGGCAACTTCCAGCTGCCAGCAATCTTTGTCGTTTCCACTTTCCACAATTCTATGAAATTGGCTTCCTGCAAGTACTGTCATGTGCTTTGATCTAGTTTTGAACATGCAGTGTAACTTTTATTTTAGATATGTGAAGAATACAGGTAGAACTTAATTTTACTTCGCGATGATAACCAACCCTAGTAACTTTAAAGCAGTTTGTTATCTAGCCCTGCGCGGTGGCGCACGCCCGTAATCCCAGAGGCTGGGGAGACTGAGGCAGGAGGATCGCGAGTTCGAGATCAGCCTCAGCAGTTTAGCGAGATTCTGTCGCAAAAATTAAAAGGTTTGGGCATTTGACTCAGTGGTTCCCCGAGCCCCCCCCCCCGCCCCCGCAGTTGCTGTCAAAATATAAGGAAACAGTTAAACAAATGGACTTTTTATTTTTATTATTTTTTTTTTTCAATTAGAATTTTATAGTTACCCATAGTAGTTCGGTTCATCCCTGCAAACTCATACATGCATGCATGGAAATCGATTTCAGTTCATGATCCACCCTCCTGCCCCTAACAGACTTTTAAAGAAAATTAGTTTCTTACTTTAAAAAAAATATTTATTTATTTTTTGTAGTTGTAGATGGACAGCACGAATTTATTTTATTTATTTTTTATGTGGTGCTAAAGATTGAACCTGGTGCCTCACATGCTAGGCAAGCACTCTGCCACTGAGCTACAGCCCCAGCCGCTTGCTTTTTTAAAATAAAATTTCCCTTTTGCGGTGCAAGAAAACAAGTTGGTGTTGGATGAGTCCTTACACCTTTTTAAAAAGGTGAATTTGTCTGAAATTGTTCTTAATAGAACTCATCCTGGAAGATATTTGGGATTCCTGCATTTGTCATTGATTTCTATGGGACTGAATCCTGCAGATTTTTTTTTTTTTTAAACATATGGTCTCCTCCCCTCTTGTCCCATAGGTGTATAAGAGTAACTTTTTGTTATTTGAGTCTATTTACTCCTTTTGTCACAGTGAAGTAACTTTCACTTAAAAATAAATAAATAACTACCTGACCCCCTCCCCCAATGAATTCAGGACCTTGAGTATGGGAGGCAAGAACTCTACTATGGAGCTGCATCCCCAGCCCCTTAAATTTTTCTTTCTTTATTTTTACATTTTTGGTACCTGGGATTGATTTGTTACTGAGGGGCACTTAACCACTGAGCCAATCCCCAGCCTTTTTTATATTGAGACAGGGTATTGCTAAGTTGCTTAGGGCTTGCTAAGTTACCTAGACTGGTCTTGAATTTAGCAACCCTGCCTACAACCTCCCAAGTCATTGGGATTACAGGTGTGGGCGCTGCACCTTGCTCAAAAATTTTTTTAACCACCCAACTGAACCTTTTTATTTGCTGTGCCAAGTATTGAACCCAGGGCCTCCTGCCTTCAAGGCAGGCCCTCTACCACATCCCCAGCCCTAACTCAGCTTTTCAGTCTAAACTTTATAAAGGGTAGAAAAAAAGAATATTAATGATTCAGTTGGGATATAAAAAGGGCATTTACATATTTAAAGAGAAAAAGGTGTTTTTGATTACATTACTCATGAACTAGACCAACATTATCTTTCTATTCTCAGTTTTGAATGCATGTTGTGAAGAAATTTTCAAGTGGTAGTTTATGATTTTGCAATGGTGAGACTTAAGAACTGCGATTTAGGTTTTATGTCATCTCAGCAATAATCTGCTTCTCAGTTTTAGTGTCTTTCATTGATTTTAACTTCATGCCTTTAATGACAGGTTGCAATTTATTCTAGATTTAAGAATTCAAGTCAGTCACTTGCATTTCAGATTCATGTCTGTAGGGAAAAGGATGGTGGTGACAACCAAGCACAAAAGCACATGGCCTTTTCTAAATAGTGGAATTATTGTAGTGTATAATCAACCAAGGGAAGTGCTTAATTTCACTTCAGGGTCATTTACATATTCTTATGCTGCTGGCTGTTAATGTTAGTTTTGGACCCATGGACAAACTCACCATGTGCCATAAAGGATTCACCATCACAGGATTCACCATCACTGTAGCTTCATGTTTTAGAATATTTTTGCATTCCTATTCTATCTGAAAAATTTTCTTTGCCACATTTGCACTAGATGGGAAAAGATACTTCAGTTGGGTGGGATCCTAGGGTTAAATAAATGCCAAAAGAAAGAAGCAACAGTATATTAAAAGTTCATTTGCTGTGATATCTATAGACGCTTAATAGTCAACACGGAAACTTTACTTTTAAAAGTAATCCCTATAAGGGCCAGGGATGTGTGTCAGCAGTAGAGAGATTGCCCAGCATTCCCAGGGCACTGGGTTCCATCCTCAGCACTGCACAAAGAAAAAGAAAAAAAAAAAACTAGTAGTCCTCAGAACCCTGACAGCTCCGGAGGTTGAAGCAGGCAGGAGAATTTCAAGTTCCAGGCCTGCCTCAGTGACTGAGACCCTGTCTCCAAAAAATAGGCGCGGGGGTAACTGAGGATATAACTCACTGGTAGAGCACCACTGGGTTCGATCCCCAGTACAACAAAATTAATATATAATCTAGTTCATAGACTGTTGTATTTGACTGGCCTGTGTAATTCATTTTAAATGCAGATTTCTGTCCCTCAGCTCCCAGAGAGTCTGATTGTGTAGGACTGAGGGGAAGATGTGTACAATTAGATTTTATTCTATTTTATTTATTTGGTACTTGGGATGAACACAGGAACCCAAACTCTGAGATAACATCCCCAGCCCTTTTTATTTTTTATTTTGAGGTAGGTACTCCCTAAGTTGTTCAAAGCCTTGCTGAGTTTCTGAGGCTGGCTTTGAACTTGTGATCTTCATGCCTCAGCCTCCTGAGGCCCTGTGCATCATCGCACCCAGCATTTTACTTGTTATTTTGAGATGGGGACAGGGTCTTTCTGAGTTGCCGAGGATGGTCTCCAACTTGCCATTTTCCTGCCTCAGCTGGGATCCCTCACTGGAATTACAAGTGTGCATCACTGTGCCCAACTTCTTATTGGTATTTTTGCATTAAGCAGTTTGTGTCTGCTATGGTTGGTATTCCCAAATGACCACAGTAATGAAGAAAGCATATGATTTTGACTGTCTAGGATGAGCAACTTTCAGTTAGGTTCCACGTGGAAAGAATTTCAGTATTTGTCAGAGAAAGCATTTAAAGTCTGGTGTGGAAACAAGGTGCATTGGTGCCCACCTGTAATCCTGATGACTAGGAGGCTAAGGCAGGAGGATAGAAAGTTTGAAATTAACTTGGGCAATTTAGTGAGACTGTCTCAAAAGAAAAAAAAAGGCATGGGGATCTAGCTCATTGGTACAGTGCCCTGGGTTCAGTCCCCAGAACAGGGGAAAGGGACAGTCTTGTTGGTAGCTTTTAGTAGTTTGTATGTAATATATTAACAGGGATTTTATAGGGATTGAGGTTTTTGCATTCTAAATCTTAACCTGAAAGTGAAATTACTTAACTACTGACTTATCTCTGATTCTAATCATACCTGAAATGAGATTTTGTCACTTATCAATTTCAAGCATAATCTCTCTTCAGTGAAGGTTTAGTAATTTATGAAGGTAATTGAACTAAAAACTTTTTTTTCCTAAGATCTCTGACTGGGTGTAGTAGTGTGTGCCGGAATCCTGGCTACTCAGGAGGCTGAAGCAGAAAGATCGCAAGTTCTGGCCAGCCTGGGCAATTTATTTAGTAAGATGCTGACTCAAAATTATAAATGAAATTAAGGGGACTGGGGATATAGCTCAGTTGGCAAACTGTTTGCCTCACATGCACAAGGCCTTGGGTTCAATCCCCAGCATCACTTAAAAAAAAAAAGATAGAAATTAAAAGGGCAGAGGATGTAGCTCAATGATAGAGGTGGTAGAGCTTCCCTGGGTTCAACCCCCAGTTACTTGCCACCCCCAAAAATCTTGAAATGTTATCAGATACTGTTAACACTGAAAAGCTTAGAAAACTTCTCATTTTCACTTGTGAACCTTTTTTTCCTAGTTCATCTTAAAAAAGAGTTCAGAATTTGGGAGGGATACTTGGAAGTACAAAATAAGTAATTACAGTGTATGACATCTACTATAAGCATTTTACTAGATAATTTTGATTCAGAGAATCATCAGAATGTTCTGTTAGAAATGTAGGTAATGCCTTATTCTATAGTACATGGTAGGTATTTCTCCGAGCTTGCTAGTAGTTTATGTGTTACATAACTGTTGATTACTTTTCACCCCTAAGAAATGGAGAATCAGAGAGAATATTATAATGAAATCTCCATGTACTTTGAACCAGTTTAACAATATCAACACATGGCTAAATTATTTCCTCTATATATTTGATGCCCTCCATTATTTTGAAGCAATTCTGTCACTTCAACCTATGTCTATTTCTTTTTTTTTTTTTATGTAAGTAAATGTTTATTAGATAAAATTGTTAGCAGCAGAAAAGCAGGTCATAATCATTTATTACACTCAGTACAATCTCCTTTTTTGTTCCTCCTGATGCTTCAACCACACCTTCCACAGAATGCTCTCTGTGCAGAGCAACAATACCCTGAAGGCATAACTAAGAGTCACCAGGCCAACTGATCATCCAAGGGCAACTCCAGGCCTGACCCTGAGCACCCTTCTGAAAGGCAGAGGATGCAGAATTCCCTGGATCTTACGCCTTGATCACAGGGAGGGGACTACTTCACACAGTTCACATCTGCCAAATCCCATGATCTGTGATCTTTCTGATGAAATGCCCGCTGAGCACCCCAGATCAGTAAAATAATTGGATTTAAATAACAATTAGATTTGAGTTTAATACCAATTAGATTTTTAAAAAGAACAGCAAAGACAGAACAATCTCTACAAAGGAAAGAATTTCTGCCTGGCCTACAGCTATGTTTAAAATGCTGTGGCCAAAGAGGAGGGCTCTGTAGGATGAGTAAATATCACACTGTCAGCAGAGGTATTCAAGTAAGTTACAAGCATTATGAAAGCAAATGTTTTGGACACAAGCATACCTTATACAATAATTAAAAAAAAACAGGCTTGAAACATTCCTATTTCAGGGTACAGGCGGGCTTTCCACTATCTAATGCCATCTCCTTTGTGATCCTCACCCACGGGCATTTCAAAGGTCACGAAAAGACCATTTAAAAACTAAGCATGTGTAGAGCCAATATGTGGACTCTATTGTGTTAGTGACAGCCTCTACACAATCTCAGAACACCAATCCTTTTCTCTCTCCTGAATAACTTTGGAATTTACAACTACCTCACCTCACCTAGTTACACACCCCCTCATGTGACTGAATTAAACCCAGACCAACCCTTACAACAGTAAAGACATTACTGTCTTCTTGGTGAATATGCTAAGCTTTGAAGTACAAATTTTACTTCTACACTAGCCCGTATAAAGACATCAGGTGTTTGAAAAGAGTTTAAATGTGAAACACTGAATTTAGTTTTAAGAACTTGGCTATGAATGAGATCACTATTCATTTAGTAGTTCCCCAAATGAGTTAGAAGAATATGTAAAAAGAAAGGAAGATCCCTTGGAGACTTGAAATTCTGCACAATCCCATCTTCTTTGTTCAAGAAGACTGTAGTTCATTTTCAGAATTCACTCCACAGTCCAGTGATCTTGGGATGTCAGCAAACCCATCAGGGCAGGAGGTACACGAAGAGGAAGAGCAGCACGTCCAGGAGCACGAAGAGCCACAGGTCCAGCCAGTACGAGTGCTTCGGCAGCCCGTTAGTCCCGGCCTGTGGGGCCCCGGGCCCGCGCCGTCCCCGGCGCGCCTCCATCCTGCCACGAGCTCAGGGACCGTCACTGCCTCGCGCCACCGCTCAGGAAGCCCGACGCGGGCGGAACGCGGCACCGCGCCTCTGCCCAGGGAGGCGAACCCCCCCATGTCTATTTCTAAAACATAATTACTTTTAAAAATATTAAGATCTTTGGCCGGGTATGGTGGCGCATGCTTGGGAGGCATGAGGCAGGACAATCAAAAGTTTAAAGCCAGCCTCAGCAATGGCAAGACACTAAGCAACTCAGTGAGACCCTGTCTCTAAAAAATAAAAATAAAAGGCAAGGGATGTGGCTCAGTGGTTGAGTGCCTCTGAGTTCAATTCCTGGTACCAAAAAAAAGTGTGTGTGTGAGAAAAAACCACAATACTAGTATTGAAAGGAAAGTATTAAAATATTTTCATAGTATTTGTTTTGTGGCTTTAGGAAAAATGTGTTTTTTTTCTATGTAGCTCATCACTAGTCTTGATTTCCACACAAATACTGAAGGCAACTTGAATTGTGGAAATTTCTATATTTGTTCATCCAACAAAAAAATGTATTACTCTTAGGGTAGATAATAGACTAGTATAAATACAGCACTTCACCCTAGAAAGCCATTAGTGTGGCCATGGATATGAAGGAGTAAATATGCATTCATATCAGTATCCCAGTGTGTGGCTGGGAGTGTAGCTAATTGGTAGAGCATTTTAGTGAGGGCCTGGTTTTGATTCCCTACATGGCAAAATAATAATAGTAGTAAGTACGACAATAGGGTAAAGAAAGCCCACAGGAAAGGGCCATGAAACACAGACTCTGGTGAATACTCAGGAGGGGCCTCTCTACATTTAGTGAATCTTGTACACCAGGACCAGAAGGATTAGTGGGAATTAGCCTGATCGAGTGAGAAAGAAGGCAGATGTTAATTAATAGCCTCAAGAAAGGGATGAGCATGAAGGTCAGTGAATTTGGGTAATTATGGATAATGTAGATAACTGGAGCCTCTATTTTTGTTGGCTGGGGAAGTATGGATTCAGACAGGAATCTATGAATGGTGGGTTTTAGTTTAGGTTTTTTTTTTTTTTTTTTTTTTTTGGTGCTGGGGATTGAACTCAGGGAGGGCCTTGTGCATGCAAGGCAGGCACTCTATATCCCCAGCCTTTGTTTTGTTTTTGTACCAGGGATTGAACCCCAGAGTTGCTTAACCATTGACCCTATCCAGCCCCTTTTGTTTATTTTGAGACAGGGTCTCACTAACTTGCTTAGGGCCTCACTAAGTTGCTGAGGCTAATCTTCAACTTGTGATCCTCCTGTCTCAGCCTCCTGAGTTGCTAGTATTACAGGCTTTCGCTGCTATTCACAGCACAAATCTGGTTTTCGATGATTTTTTATATAAGCCTTGATAAAGTTTGAACTTTTACTTTGGGAAGCAATGCTTCTAAGCAACAAGAGATGTTTACTGTCTAGCTGCTGTGGAAAATTGAAATTTTAACCGAAATTTCTCAGGCAATAAGGAGAGTGTGAACCATGACTACAAAGTAATATGTAAAAAAAACCTGAAAATAGCATGATCATGGTATAGCAGAAACAAAACTACATGCCATTGGGGACTTGTCACAGATTCATTTATTAAAACCTTCTCTTTGGTGTTTCTTTTTGAAGGGGGGCAGGTAACTGAGGATTAAACTCAGAGGCACTCACCCACTGAGCCACATCCCAGCCCTATTTTGTATTTAGAGACAGGGTCTCACTGAAAGCTAAGTGCCTCACCAGTGCTGAGGCTGGTTTTGAACTCGCGATTCTCCTGTCTCAACCTCCCCAGCCACTAGAATTAGAGACACGCACCACTGCCCCCAGCTGGTGCTTCTTTGGGGGGGGGGGGACTTCAACTCCTTTAGCTATAAAGAAAATACCTGCTTCTAAAGAGTTGTTGTCAGAATTAAATCATTCATTAATGGTAAATGAAAGGCTACAGGTAAAAGGTGTTCATTTTTATTTTACCAGTAAAATTTCCGTTTATTTTAAATTAAACATATAACAGTTGAGGTATTACAATAATACTTTGTAACTGTCCTAAAATATATAATGTATTAGGGAATTGTTTTCACCTTTTTTTTTTTTCTTTTTTGGTATTATAAATGAACCAAGGGGCGTTCTACACTAAGCTACACCCCTAGCTCTTATTATTTTTTGGAGACTGGGTCTGGCTAAGCTGCCTAGACTGGTCTGGAACTTGGGATTCTTTTGCCTCAGCCTCCTGAGTTGCTAAGTGTGTGCTGTACCCAGCTTACTTAACTATTTTTATGTTTTCCTTCTGAATTTTTACCAAAATATATGTGCTTACTGTATTCAAACATAACAAAGAAGATAGTAAATAGTGCCCAGCACAGTGACACATTCCTAATAATCCTAGCTGCTACAGAGGTTGGCTTAGGAGGATTGCAAATTAGAGGCCAGTCTGGGCAACTTAGCCAGACCCTGTCTCAAAATAAAAAAATAAAAGGGCTGGGGATGTGGGGATGTAGCTCAATGCTAGAGTGCCCTTGGGTTTGATACCCATTACAACCCCCCCCCCCAAAAAAAAAAGGAAACAGTGAAGTATATTCTTATCGTCTCCCCGTTGCCAATTTTTCACCCATAATAGCTTAAAAATTATTATGTATACTTCCAGACTTTCCCTAATAATTTGGACAGTGTTGTTGGCACATAGGAATCAAACTTGAACTACTTGTTTCCTGTTGGGTAGATAATGTCTAATATTTTGGCGTTACCAATCAAGCTGCAGTGAACATTCTACTGTTTTACTATGTATGCATGTATGTGAGCTACTGTAGGATAAGTTTCTAGAAAGATAATGCCTAAGTTAGAAATGCACATTTTATATTTTGGTGGATGCTGTCCCACATCTCTCTGATATTATTTGAAACTCTTTTTATTTTAGTTGTAGATGAACACAATACCTTTATTTATCTTTATGTGGTGCTGAGGATTGAACCCAGGGTCTCATACATGCTAGGCAAGTGCTCTACCACTGAGCTACAACCCCAGCCCTGGACTCTTTTTTCAATTTTTATTTTGGACAGGGTCTCTCCAAGTTTCCTAGGGCCTCACTAAGTTGCCAAGACTGGCAGTCTTCTTGCCTCAGCCTTCTTAGTTGCTGGGACAGCTCTGCTTCCATACCTGACTGGACTATCATTTTCTTATCTTTGTAATGCCAAATACTCTTTTATTTTGCATTACTAGAGATTGAACTCAGAAGTGCTGTATCACTGAGCTGCATCTCCAGACCGTTGTATATTTTATTTAGAGACAGGGTCTAACAAAGGCACTTAAGGTGCTGAAGCTGGCCTTTAATTTGCAATCTTTCTACTTCATGTTCCCAAGAACCTGAGATTACAGGTTGTACACTTCTGCAACCTTTTCAGATACTGTTTTAATTTTTTAAAAAACACTTTTACTTTGTTTAAATGACAAAATGTTGCCATTAAAATTTTCTAGTCAGTTTCCAAGATTGGTTGTATTTCTGCCTTCTCTTAACTGTTAGTTAAAACTGTGTTGATGAGATTGAACTTTTCAGGTCACTGGTGTTGCTTTACATTTATGAAGAGGATCAATCAAAATTTGTGTTAAGATCCAGGCATCTGGTATTGTACACGCCTGTAATTTTGTAGGCTGAGACCAGAGGATTGCAGCAAGTTCAAGACCTTAGCCTTAGAGAGGCCCTAAGCAAGTTAGTGAGACTAATATAAGAAAAAAGGGCTGTAGATAATGGCTCAGTGGTTAAGTGTCCCTGGGTTCAATCCCTGGTACCAAAAAAATTTGTGTGTTATGTGTGTCCCATCTATGGTCTGTCCTTATGCCTCCTACCTTCGGTTATCAGGTTGCTGGGTCCATGATAGACATTAATAAAGACTTGCTGGATAAAAAACGAAGCGAATTAGTTTGTATTTAAAGAGCTTGCAGGAGTATTAATTATAAAATATTTTTAGTTAAAATATCTCCAATTCCTGGGGAGGTTTTATTGGATAGAGTAATGAATAATATTGATGTACCATTAAATGGTAAAGCAATATCTTAAGGTGAGTTGAAGAATGGAAAGAGCATATGGAATCTGACTGTCAGGATTTCTAAGTAGCTGTTGCCTTCAGGGCAGGTCCTGTGGTTGATCTCTGCTTCTTACTTCCAAATGGAGTAATTGGATTCAACTAGATAGTTACTGGTTGGCTGACAGTCCTGTCTTATTTGGTCTACATAGCAATTAAAGATACTTTGAAAATTAACCAGTAAAGCACGCGAATATTCCCCTTCATCTTAGTGTAACCAACATATACTATTAATTTTTAAAAATTTTTCTACTTAGTTGTCTATTCATTTATTATAATACTGGGGTTTGAACCCAAGGGGCCTTGCACCTGTGAGGTAGGTACTCCACCTATGGTTTTTTTTTTTTTTTTTTTTGGTGTGTGTGTGTGTGTTTGGTTTTTTAGGATTGGAGATTGAACCCAGGAAATGTGCTACTTCACCATCTTGCCCCAGGCTGGTCTTGAATTTGAGATTTTCCTGCTTGAGGCCTGGGATTGCATGTTGCTACCACCCCTGGTATTAATAGGTATACACAGATATTAAGAAGTGAGGCTCGGGCCCGAGGTGCTTGCCTAACATGAGTGAGGCAATGGGTTCAGTCCTTAGAAACACATACATACGTACACCCCCCCCACACACACACAATACCAGTATAATATTGGTATAAAAGTATTTCCATTGTTTAAACATGATATATCAATCTTTTGATGTGTTTGTGGATTTAATTCTTCTGAACATAGATTATGAAACCACACTGCTGTGAATGAATGTTAAAAAAAAATCTTTTTCAGATTTAGCACTCAGTCCTCAGTGTTCACAAATAACTCACTCAAGTTTGTTTTTGTGGTGCCAGGAAGGAATTAAACCCAGGGCCTTATGCATGCTAGACTAGTGCCTCATCACTGAATCTATCGCTGAACTTTGTCCCACTCTCAGTTAAGCAATCAAGTTTAATTTTTTTCCTCGAACACCCCTCCTCTTCCCTCCAGCCAAAGACTAAACTCAGGGCTTTATGCATGCTAGGCAAGCATTCT